GAAGTGCTGGTAGATGCGGCAGAAGCCAGGAAAAGCATTCGTAATGCCCTCCTGTCCTTCGCCAACTACAAGACCAAGATGACTGCCCTTCGACATCCTGATGGATCTATCACATCTTCCAGAAGGACAATGGAGAAGTTTATCCATGACTTCTACTCAGATCTCTTCGATAGCCATGTCCACCCGCCCACATCCCAAATTCCACAGGATGGATATGTCGTTCCCAATGGTCTCCCTTCCAAAATCCGACACGCCATTTTCGTTGGTTAAGAAACGAACAGCACCCAGCCCAGACAAGGTCAGACCTGAATACCTGAAGAATCTACCACTAGCACTCATCAATACACTGGCTCAGCTCTTCATACGCTACCTGTCTGAATGCAAGGTTCCATCCCAATGGAAAACCAGCAGGACTGTACTACTGTACAAGAAGGGAGACATCCACAACATTGGCAACTGTCACCCGATCTGCCTATTGTCTGTCATCTGCAAGCTGTTCACTTGAGTCATCCTGAATAGGATTGGCAGAACACTAGATGAAGGACAACCATGCGAGCAAGCCGGATTCCGCAAAGGATTCAGCACCATCGACCATATCCACACGATAACCAAGCTCATTGAGGATTCTCAGGGGTTCAAGATGCCGCCTCGGGGCTGGAGCAATAGCACAGCGGGTAGGGCGTTTGCCTTGCACGCAGCCAACCCGGGTTCGATTCCCAGCATCCCATATGGTCCCTTGAGCACCACCAGGGGTAATTCCTGAGCACAGAGTCAGGAGGAACCCCTGTGCATTGCTGGGAGTGACCCAAAAAGAAAAAAAAAAAGATGCCGCTCAGTCTAATGTTCATTGATTTAAAGAAGGCCTTTGATTCTGTTGAGACAGAAGCAGTCATTGAAGCCCTAGCCAGTCAGGGCATTCAAACTCAATACATCAGGATCCTCCGTGAGCTGTATTGTGGATTCACTACCAGGATCTCACCATTCTACAAAGAAGTGATCGTTGATGTCAAGAGAGGGGTGCGGCAGGGTGATACCATTTCACCGAAACTCTTCAGTGCCACCCTCTAGAACATCATGCAACGACTGGAATGGGAAGGAATGGAAGTGAAGATCGATGGTCAGCAACTGCACCACCTCCGCTTTGCTGATGACATTGTTCTAATAACACCAAACATTAGCCAAGCGGCACAAATGCTGGCTGACTTCGACCGTGAGTGTGGAAAGGTTGTCTTACGAAGACAATGCTTATGAGAAACAGCCTCGTTCCTGATGCTCCATTCGCTCTCAACAGAACCACCATCTCCGAATGCAACAGCTATGTGTACCTAGGTCGAGAAGTCAACATGACAAATGATCTGGCACCTGAGCTGCGCAGGAGAAAGAGAGTGGCTTGGAACGCCTTCAAGAGCGTGGAAGAAATAGCTAACAGGACGAAGAACCTCCGACTCCAGGCACATCTCTTCAATTCCACTGTTCTTCCTGCATTAACATACGCCTCAGAGACCTGGGCCCTACGCAAACAGGATGAGAACACTATTCAGGTCTCCCAAAGAGGAATTAAAAGAGCTATGCTTGGAATATCATGTTTCATTCAAATGAGAGAAAGAATCCGGAGTTCCAACCTCCATTGACGATCAAGAATCAGGGATGCTGTCTCGTTTGCTGAGGCATCAAAAATCAGATGGGCTGGACATGTAATGAGATTTGGAGACGACCGCTGGACTAGAGCTGTTACCGACTGGATTCCACAGGATGTCAAAAGACTGCGTGGCCGCCCACCTACCAGATGGTCGGACTTCTTCATCAAGATCCTGAATGATCGGTTTGAGGCTCTTCGTGTTCCTAGAACGAACAGATGCCATTGGGCTACACTAGCACACGACAGGGACAGATGGAGACATTACTGGCGCCTGCTCGAGCAAATCGACGATTAACGGGAAGTCAAGTGATCAAGTGATCCTGAAAGAACCTCCAATACGGCAGTGGTGGGAAAGGCGAGTAAGGAAAAGCTGCTAAAATACCAGGGCTGCAATGAATGGAGACGTTACTGGCGCCCGCTCGAGTAAATCGGAACAGGATGACAGTGATACAGTGACACACTTGGGAATCAGTCTGTGCAGAGAAGCATAAGGGCATGTAGCTGTGTCTGGGCTGGCATTGCAGGCATACAGGAGGGACATTACTCAAGGACGTGAAGGTTAGAAGTTCGTTGATGATTTTCCATGCCCTGTACAGAATTTGAATTTTCCCCATAGGTCATGGGAAATTTTGTAAGTAAACTCGCATTGTGTTTTAGAATGGGCTTCTAAGTCCGAGCCCGCCAGGCCGGCCATGCTGTTTGGCAGCCCTAGTGGGGACTCTAGGACCCATACCTACTGAGAATTCCTTCACAGAGAACACCTGAGGCCTTCCTCACAAATATATCTCCTTTGGAACAGTTGCTTTGACCACATGATGGTAGGATAGCTTGAATGGGGTAGAAAAACTAGAAATAGGGTCACCAATGGGAAGTATTTGCATTAGGATAGGCAGAACCTCAGTAGCAGAGCAGAGGGGACATTTAAGTTTTCCCATCAGTTAATTATTTCTGTCTAGTACAGCCAGTTCTCACTATTTAAGGTAGCTGTGTTCTATAAATTTGCTGAGAACACAGAATTAGTGGTTACTAGCCATTTGTTTTAGGAGAAATTCAGAATGCTGCTTTGTAAATGAGTCAAAGATGGCGTTTTATCTGTTGGCCCTAGATTGGTTGTTTTTCTGTGGGTTTTTTTGTTTTGTTGCTTTAAGTTTTGGGTTTACACCTGGGGCAATGATTCTTTTTTTTTTTTCTTTTTTTTCTTTTTGGGTCACACCCGGCAATGCACAGGGGTTACTCCTGACTCTGCACTCAGGAATTACTCCTGGCGGTGCTCAGGGGACCATATGGGATGCTGGAAATCGAACCCGGGTTGGCTGCGTGCAAGGCAAATGCCCTACCTGCTGTGCTGTTGCTCCAGCCCCAAATCACACATCTCTTAAGGATCACCAGTATGCATGAAGGGTTAAGCCTTTTTCAGATTTGAAAGATGTTTCTCTTAAAATTCATTTTACTTTAAATTGTGTTATCTACTCTTTCTCAGTGATGAGTACATAGCAGTCAGTTCTATTTTTCATCCCCTGTAATGTTTATTTTCATGTTTTCTAACTATTTTTAAACATCATGATTTACAAAGTTATTCATAGTACAGTTGTTTTGGGCATTCAGTGTTTTAACACCAATCCTACCACCAGTGTGAGGTCACCTTCCCTCTACCATTGTCCCCAGTTTCCCACTCACCCCCTAAACGTGCTTACTTAGCAGGCATAAAATAATTTACTTTATGTTACAACAAAATGGTAAATGTAATTATCAAAAAATAATTCAGTGAAATTCATGAAAATTGTTATATTTAACAATAGGGTTGTTACAATCTTGAGGATTGATCTGCTTGTTGCTAGTTGATCCTGTCTTGTTTTTGCTCATTGGAGCTTAATGGGATTCTGGTGCTTTCCTGTCTAATATGCTGTGCTGCCAGTATGGAATTTGGAGTTGTCACCCAGACACATGCTCAGGAGCTGTAGACCTGGGAGGATACTTTTGGCTTGCATCTCTTGAGGTTTGTTGTGAGGCTTGAGCATGTATATGGTGGAGGCTGTACAGTGCTGGGACTTCTGGCAATGTGGCATGGGGTCAGAGGGGAGGCTGCCCGTTCCACTCTGAGGAGGCCCAGAGTTTCCAAACAGAAGACTGGTCTACCTGGGAGTTTTATCAGTTAAGGCATCTCTTCTGAGATTAGTCCTGAAGCAGGGAAGCTGGGCTGTTTATATGCCTGAGCCCATGGGTTATGGGTGGGGCTGCCAGGGCTTTGGCAGCTTCTCTCCGAAGAAGGCCCTACTTTTCAGCCTGAAGACAGTGTACCTGGGAGTTTCATCAGCTTGGTGTCTCTTCCAAGATTCCACTCTCCCTCCTTTATTTCTCCTACCTTTCTGGTTTGGGAGGTTTCCTGTCATCCCACATCCAGTTAATTCCTGCTGCCACCCCTCAGATGCCCCTGTCTTATCCATAGATACCATTGTAGTTCTTATGGTAAATGGACTCTTTCTAGCTCCTGAGGTAGGGTCAGAGATGAAGCAGTCTTTAAGAACCATTCTTGCACTTTTTATGCTGCAGTCACATCTCTAAAAAAACTAGCCAAACAAGGAGTGCTAGACCTCTTATCGGACCGTGATCAAAAAAAAAAAAAAGTATCTGTGTAAGCTAGCCACACTATACCATCCATCTCTTGAAGTTGGCAGATTCTACAGTCAGATTACCTGGGTTCAAACACCAGGCCCAACTAAGGTGAAGCTGGAATCTCAATTTATCTGTAGTTCTGGGGCATTCCAGAGGGCTGAAATAATCTGAGATATTAGGTTGCCCTTTACATACTCCTTATCAGTCTAATCTAAAGATTAGTCTGGCAAAAAAAAGAAAAAAGCTTTTAATGCGGTACCTGGGAGGATTAACCATGCACCACTACTGTGTGCAAGTCTCAAAGTCATTCCGGCTGGGGAGATTGTAGGTGGGGAGGTGCTTTCCTTGCACATGGCTGACCTGGGTTCAATCTCTGGCACCCTATATGATCCCTTGAGCCCACCAGGAGTGATCCCTGAGTGTAGAGCCAGGGGTAACCCCTGAGCATCGCCAAATGTATGCCCCTTCTCCCACCCCCCGCAAAAAGTCACAGCTCTCTTTTATTTTTTATGTTTATAATATTCCATCATTTAAAAGACTGAAAATTCAGATTTGCTTTGACTTAAGTGAAGAATAGTAACATATATAATAATTTCCCTTTAATGTTATCTCTAGAAATGCTGTTGTATTTGACATAAGTAATCCATATGACATAAAGGGTATAAGGCAAGTTACTAAGTTTTTTTAAATGATATGAACCATGTCATTTGTTTTCTTTGCCTTATAGCATATATTTATCATCCCGTAGGTACCAGCAAGGTGTGGAGTGACAGTCCGGGACAGTCTAAAGAAAGCACTAATGATGAGAGGTCTGATTCCAGAGTGCTGTGCTGTTTACAGAATTCAGGATGGGTATGGTTTGTATGGGGTGTGAAATTCTCTTTGAAAAGGGGGGCCAAAACTCAAGCATTGAACTTCAGGTTGTCTGTGTGATCTTTATACAAAACTAGGGAATTGAAAATAAGCTTGAGAGGGAAAAATACTAAGTCAATATTAAGTTATCCTAAAGAAATCTTGTTGTCAAGGGCTGGAGAGATGGTTCAGTGGGTAGAGCTGACTTCACCAGGTCGACCTGGGTTTAGTCCACCTGCGTGATCACTTCGAACAGAGCCAGAAGTAAGCCCTGAGCCCCACTGGATGTGGGCCCAAAACCTAAAAAAGAAATCTTGTAACCCCTTTTGAGGACTTAACATTGGGTCATTTTTGTATGGCTAGTATTTCACTCTGATCTAATGATTTTGAGGTTTAAATTTTTGAACCACTTAGAATATCATTTGAATAATGGATCCTTCCCTACCTACATATTTTTAATACAGTCTCAAAATGTCACAAAACTGACATTTTGTTTCAGATATCTAAACTTGCACCAAAACCCCTACATTTTAATTATTTTTTTACAAAAATGTCCTCTTGGGGCATATTGTCCCTTGAGTACTCTTTTTCTTTTAGTGAATAGATAAATCCCCATACTAGTGATTTTTTTTTTTTTTAAATATTTGGACCGCAGGAACAATCCATTCTCTGCTGTTGTAGGTCTTTTCTGGAGCTGACTTGAAGAAAAGAGTACATCTCTTTACACTGCTGTTTGTCCAAGAGTGATACATTTATTTTGGGTAAACTTAAAAATTAATTTATTGCCATTTAAATTTCTAACGACAGAAGAATAGGGAGCCAAATCTCCCTCAATATTACTAGCCCCTCAATAACCAGTTTTCATATCTTCAGCATGCGGTGTATGAAGTTTTTAGTTGTAATAACCAAGAAAGGCTGTATCTACACTTTTCAGAGAGAAGAAACCAATTGGCTGGGATACAGATATTTCCTGGCTTACTGGAGAAGAATTACATGTAGAAGTATTGGAAAACGTTCCACTTACAACACACAACTTTGTAAGTACCTTTACTTTTTTTTTTTTATGTCAGGAATGTTGAAGTTCTTGTGGGTTTTTACTTAGAGACTATGAAATGCTATTGCGTGATTTGAAGCAGGGTGTGTGTGTGTGTGTGTGTGCGCTTGTGCACACATGTTAAATTATTCCTGTTTAAGGAGTTTCGTTTTAATATACTTTCTAATTTAAGAAGGAAACTCACGGGGCCAGAGCAGTAGTCCAGCGGGTAGGGCACTTGCCTTGCACATGGCCAACTCGTACCCAGATCAGGAATATACCCCAGAAGTATATTCCTGAGTGCAGAGCCAGCAGTAATCCCTGAGCACCACCACGTGTGGACCAAAAACCAAAGGAAAAATAGAAAAAAATTTTAATTCACACCTATTAAATGAGAAGGAGATTTGAGTGGTATCGAAGTGTATCAAATAAAGTGAAAACACTCTCCCAGATACAGGCATTTATTGTGTGGCTTTTAAACTGTTTATAAGCCTGTGTGTTTATACCTGTGAACCTAAATTTTTCTCTCCTTTTTAGTCCCTCTTCCCTTTTTTAAACTGAAATTGCCTTCTACATGATACTGACGGTTTTTAGAAAGCAGTGGGTAGAGAGAGTGCAGTGGACAGGGCACTTGCCTTGCACAGGACACCCCGTAGAGTCCCCACGTACTACCAGGAGTAATCCCTGAATGCAGAGCCAGCAATAAGCCCTGCACACTATCAGGTGTGGTCCAAAAACTATTTTAAAAAAAAAAGGAAAAAAAAAATCTCAAACAACCCCCAAAACAGAATAAAATAATACACAATAATATTTATCATGAACATCTTTCACATAGCTCTCTTTTCATAGAAACTTCAGAGTAATTCATAAAAATATACTCTTTAATCATTGTTTATAGACATTTAAGGGTTTGTTATGCCTCGTATATAAAGACAAGCAATCTTTGTGCAGACAAATTGTCGTTCTTGAGTAAATGTTTCTGAAGGACAGTCCTTCAGCACTGAATGAAGGTGGCCAAACTCTCCTTTGAGTATGTCTCCCTTTATCTACCTGACACAGGAATTTTCTGGAACATAATCCACCTAACTGTCAAGGCACAATTCCTCCAGTCTTAGATGGAACAGTTCCTAGAGCTTAAAACTTATCTTTCTACATGGGTAAAGGAATGAGCAGAAGCCACATGTAAAGTGATCAGTATAGTGGGATTGTATTGCTTTTGTTATATACATGTTATATAAATGCCGTATATAGGCATTTTGGCCACGGTTTATTTTTTCTAGATAAATAGTTACTAACCTTTTGCAGTTGGTGTATTACCAGTGTGTCTTAGCTTGTTGTTTGCTTGGTTGGTTTGTCTTTGGATGGAGACACAAACATAACTGACAGTGTTCAAGGCTTATTCCTGGCAGACTCGGGGGACCAAGGCCAGCACCTTACCTGCCAAACTCTCTCTGACCTTTGTGCCTTAGCTTTTATACAAACAGTTGACAAGATGATTTCCTCAAGAGTTTGTTCTTGGGGTTCCTTTAGTGATGAATAATAAAATCAAGTGTGTGATTCAGTTAATAAGGCATTTTCTGGAGTGTCAGATATACCGAGGGTATATCTTATATACCAAATCAAATTTGCTGAATAGCAAATAGTTTTTTAATCTAGGAAGCTTGAATTTTTTGTAAAACTTAGAGAACTTTGGATAAATATTAATTTTTTTGTTTTCAGAAATCCAAAAACAATTGATCATGCATTTTATAATTTTTCTTCTCTTTTGTTGTTGTTGTTGATATTTTTAGTTAGAACTTGGGTACAAGGAAGTGAAAGAGGGTTTAATTTGCCAAGCATCAAAGAGATTGAAACAGCTTCAAGAAGTTGCTGGCCACCAGAGGAAATGGAAACTCACTCCCCTTAGTCCCTGAGTATGGAGATGCCCCCAGCTTTGCTGGGGACTGGCCAGAAAATGCCCTCCAGGAGAGTCTTGCATTTGCCCATACTGTTTCTGCTCTAGGAGTACAGCTGTGAAAAAGGAACATTATATAGCGATTTAATGAGTGTATAGACTCAGAGTGTGGCTTGTGGTCAAGCACATGCCTTGCATGCACGAGACCTGGATTTGATCCCTGCTACTGGAGGTAACAAAGAGAGATTTATAAACTCTTCATTACTGTACATGTATAAAGTGCTATAGATGCAAAGTGGCCACTCCTAACGTGACAGTGGGAAAGTCCCCAAAGGAGGAAGCTCCTAAGCTCTTCCTGGGTGGATGAGGGAACAGCAGGCAGAGAGTGCAGGGAAGAGTACTGTAGAGAGGAGCATTTAGGAAGTGGATTACCTTTCCAGTTCTGAAAAGTGCAGGATGAGCAGTACAGGATGGGGGGGGGCAGAGTCGAAGAAGCGGGGCGCTAGAGTAACAGGTTGTGGGTAAGGTAAACAGAGTCCAGCTCACAAGCTGCTTTTCAGCCTAGTTGAAGATTTTTACTTTTTTCTGAAGCAGTTGTAACTGTTATAATGGCAGAGAGGGGAGACTTGTGGTTCGATTCTCAACTACCCTTTTGCCCTTAGTGCTGTGTCACGGCAAGAAGGAAAAGTGTGCCTTGCATAGAAAGAGCTCTTCCCTTGGCATGTCTGCATTGAGTTTTGCTTGATCCTGCCTCCTCCTTTCGCATGAGAGCGATTCCTTCAGTGTGAGAAGGCACTCCTGCAGCCGAGTTGGTGGGAACTGGTGGGTGGAGGGGGCCGGGGAGGCCAGGAAGCCGGATTTGAAACAGAGGCATGCATTGCCCTGCCCTTCCCATCTTCTAGTGAATTAATGCTTACCACAGGCGAGGCCTGTGCCTCTCACTAGTGGAAATGCTCGAATTGTAAAGCTATGATCCAAAAGCAGATAGCAACCTTCTTTTTTTTTTTTTTGTAGGAGTACTGCTATTTATTCAGCCACTGATTAGCTGATTGAATTGTGCATGAACTCCACCTTAGTTTTTTTTTTTCTTTTTCCATTTTTTATAATTTTATTTATTGAATCACCGTGAGAGCAGTTACAAAGCTTTTGGGTCTAAGTCTCAGTCATACAATGAAACACCCGTACCTTCACCAGTGCCCATTCTCCACCACCAAAAATCCCAGTATACCCCCATCCCACACCCTCCCCCTGCCTGTGGGGCAGATGATTTCTACATTACTCTCTCTCTACTTTGATCACATTCACTATTTCGACACCAGACCCACCATTATTTAAGATTTTACCCCAACACTCAGATCTGCTGAAAAGGCAACAATAGACAATTTGTGTTCTATTGCTGGTTATGAATAACATATGATGTCGTGTGGCTGCAGTAGGGCCATGTGGTTTTGAAGTTCTGAAATTTTAACACAAATCTGGAGGGATTTCTGCCAAAAGTCACTGGGTTTAGAGATCTGCTCCTGAGTCTCTGGGATCATGGCCGTTGAGCAGTTTGATGAGGAGCCAAAGAGGCCATTCGTGGGCGATGACTTGGGGTCTCATTGGGGTGGGGAAGACAGGCCCGGCTCTACCTCCCCCCCCCCCCCCATCCCGTGAGACCCAACAAGTTTCGTCACTGCGGGCCCAAGCCTGACTGTCCAATGGCCTCTGGAGGATGACAGCCACCAAGTCGCCAAGAGGGAGCAGGTGGAGGGACAGCACCCATTCCCCCCTGGGGTGGCCGGTGACAGTAACCTACTGCGGGGTCCGGATAGCGACCTTCTTAAGGCCACTTTGTTGACAAACGTGTGCTCCCCGCTTTGGGAGCATTACTTGACCAGGTGCACCCCAGGCTTTCTCTGGCTCTCCACTACCTCCCGCTTGGGTTCCTTTTTTTTCTCTCTCGTTTGTGTGTACTACCAGTCAGGTACATGCCATTTTCAAGTCTGTTTCAGAAGGAGGATGCAGTAGAGGGCGTGAGTGACAGGAGAGCTCTCGAGGGCTCTGGGGGGGCTCAGAGCACCATGGACAGATGACACTTCCTGTGAAATGTTTGTAATTTCCTAGTTCCTGTACAAAGCAAGCAATATAAGCCATTTGGTAGGCAATGGCTGCATTGATGGTAAAGATTTTCTAATTTCTTATATGTCCAGAGGCAAGGGAGATAGACTGACTGTAAGTGGTTTGCCTTTTTACATTCCTAAAAAGTGACACATGATAAAAGAACATAGAACCACTTTAAATTTTTTTTATTTCACTCTAATACCATCAGTGATAGCATTTCTTAAATAAATTCCAGCACCACACCCCCACCAGAGTGTCTATTTCCCTCTACCACTGTCTCAGTATCTCCCTTCAAATACCTCCCCTCCCCTGTTGATTTTGGGGGGGTGAGGGTAGGGCTATGCCAGACTGTGCTCAGGACTTAACTCCTGGCTCTGTTCTCAGGGATCGCTTCTGGCAGTACCCGGAGTACCATAACAGCACCGAGGATCAGATCTGGGTTGGAGAGCTACTTTTCAAACTTCTCGAAGGGCAGGCTGTGGCTCAGTAGCCTGGTACTTGCCTGGCATGTGGGAGGCCCTGAGGTAGATCATAGCACTCCATTGGGGTGAGGGTGGGGGTGGGAATGGTGGTAGCAGAACCAAACACTCAGAAAGCCAGACCAGTGCTTGCCGAGATACCATTTACTTCATGAGGCATTTTTCATTAACATTTTATTCCATTAAATATGTTTATTGGACAGAGTTAGTAAAGGTAAGTTGTGATGGAGCATTTTGCATATTAATAGAATAACTAGAAAATTCTGGTATATGACTTAGACTGGTTATCGGTGTTTGAATACTGGTGTCACAGTATTGTAAAATTTTTTTTTTGGTTTAGATTTTGTTTTGGGGACCGCACCTAGGGATACTTGGGGGCCACACTGGACTGAGTGTTCAGGGGGTTCCCAGCAGTGCTCAGAGCCATGTTTGTGGAACCCAGGCCCCCCACACACAAAGCTTTCACTCCAGCCCTCTGAGCTCGCTCTCGGCCACTAAGACTTGTGTCTTGTCAATGATTAAAACCATCTGGAAAAGCGAGAATAATTGAGAATATATAAAGCAAAGGGCCAAATTAAAAACATGCATGCCTGCAGTGCTCTGAATAGCCACCATTAACATTTGACATTTGTTAATTTAGCTTATCTTCTCTGTTTATGATATAGAAAAAAAACAAACTTCTTTGTTTTTAATCCTTTTATGTGTGCTTTTTTTGGGTGTTTCTTTTGTTTTGTTGTTGTTACTGTTTTAGTCAACTTCTTCCTTCAGTTACTGCCTGCATAGAGACCTCTAACAGTTCTGTTGCTGAGATCATCGTAGACCCTGCCCTTTCTCACATGAAAGCTCTTTCTTACAGGAGAGAGGAATGTTCACGTTAGGCTAACTTGTTAGTGTCTTGTAGATAATTTTCCTCTCCTTTTATCTAGTTAGTGCTTTATGGTAGGACTTCTTTCTTTACAAACTGTTTCTTTTGTTAATATATAAATACTTTAGCATTTTAATCAAAGGGTGCAGTAGGGCGTTCGATTCCTCCGCCCCTCTCGGAGAGCCCAGCAAGCTACCGAGAGTATCTCTCCCGCACGGCAAAGCCAGGGAAGCTCCCCGTGACATACTCGATATGCCAAACACAGTAGCAACAAGTGTCACAATGGAGACGTTACTGGGCCCGCTCGAGCAAATCGATGAACAACGGGAGGACAGTGACGTATATAGTTAAAAATAGTACCTTTTCAGTGGTAAAAACACTTATCTTGCATGTGTGAGGCTTTGAATTTGATCCCTAGGTGGGGAGGAAAGAGGTTCCAAAGAGGCTTATAATGCAAATTAATCTGTGTGGATGATGTTGCCCAGTGCTAGGGTCCCATCTTCACACTTATGATGCCACACTTATGATCCCTACTTACTGCCATACAAAATCATCAGCACCATCCCCATGCTGCTGCCGCCCCCCGTTACACACACACACACACACACACACACACACAGTATTGCACACCCCCAAGGAAATCTCTCCCATGTTTTTTTGTCCTACCCATGTTTTCTTGTCCTACCCAAGCCAATAAGCATCTCTAAACTTCCTGCTCTTCTTGCTCTGTATAGGAATGAAATTGTATGCCTTTATCCTTCTTACTTCTCTTCCTTTCATATTTGTCTGCCGTGACTTCTATGTAGTGAAACCTGAAATTAATTTTCAGACCTTTATTCATTTTCCATCTTCTTCTCTTTTTTTTTGGGGGGGGGGCGGTTGTTTTTATTTTGGTGTTGAGGCCACATCCAGTGATGCTCAAGGGTTACTTCTGGTTCTGCACACGTGAATCACCATTGGTGGTGCTCGGGACTATAAGAGATTCCAGGAATCAAACCTGGATCTGCTGCTTGCAAGGCAAGCTGGGCTGTCTCTCGGGCCCCATTTTTTTCTCTCTTCTTGGCCCCATTTTTTTCTATATATTAGTTGAATATTGGGTTGGAGATAAACATGTATAGCTCTTTTAATTTTATATGTGTAAAGCAGTTGTCACGATATAAACATTAAAGGTTTACTCTTTCAAACAAGAGTAAACACTTTACTGAAAAGATTCTAGGAAGATTCTTGACACGTTTTTTAAATTCTCTATGATGTTTTATCTTGCAGGTACGGAAAACTTTTTTCACCTTAGCATTTTGTGACTTTTGTCGAAAGCTGCTTTTCCAGGGTTTCCGCTGTCAAACATGTGGTTATAAATTTCACCAGCGTTGTAGTACAGAGGTGCCACTGATGTGTGTTAATTATGACCAACTTGAGTAAGTAATCAACACTTCTGAATGTATTATTTTGCCTTTAAATGTTCTTAATGTGAAACTAGTACTTCTTAGAGTATGAGGGAGTTTTCTGTCCAATAAAGTTTGTAACACAGAATTTTTTTTTTAAGTACAATTAGAAAGTAGTATATAGTATGGCTAGTACTTCTCTCCCAAATTATAAATCTGGCTTAGCTATACATCTCATTTGAGTTTTATATTTACTTTTAGTTAAAACAGATCTCTAACCACAGAAATCACTTTTAGGTAGTTTTTTGGGGTTAGAGTAGGTCTTTCAATTAAACTATCCTTTTGTTTCATAAATAGGAGGTCTTATTCTGTCAGCTATTTTGTAAAATACATTTTTTCTCTCTGTCTCTCTCCCCCCCTTTCTTTCTGTCTCTCAAACCCTCCCCCAGTTTATTTAAAAGTAAGATATAAAATTTTTGTACCAAGTATATCTCTTTCTGAAACTTTTCTTTGCTTTATTGCCAGAGTTTCTCTAATAGGTTAGTCTGAGTCTCATAGACTGAGCCTAATTTTAATCTTGTGTCTGCATTACTATTGTTGCTGCTATTAAAGGTCTTATTACTTTCCTTGATCATTTGAGTAAATAAAAATTAATTCTGCACTTTATAAAGTGATTGTAATGATGTGATCTAACTTAACGATAGAAACGTTTTCTTCTAATTCCCTAACCATAAAGCATGATTTTGCTTCTTAATATGTAGAGATTTGCTCTGTGGAACCATTGGTTTCAGTGTGATTTTGAAAATGCAGTATAGTGTTTTTTTTAATAAGCCTTAAGACCAAAATGCAACTAATTTAACTGTGGTTTCTCAAAATGAAATCTGATTTGAGATATTTTTGTTAACTCTGTAATGTATTTGGTATATGAAGCTTCTGGGTTTTGCACAAGTTAGGTTTGTTTTGTTTTGTTTTTGTTTTTACCTCACAGTTTGCTGTTTGTCTCCAAGTTCTTTGAACACCACCCAATATCACAGGAGGAGGCCTCCTTAGCAGAGACCGCCCTTACGTCGGGACCCTCCCCGTCCGCGCCCCCCTCCGATGCTCTGGGGTAGGATTTGACTCCTGCTGTTCAGTAACACGTGCTATTTGAGCTGGTTTCTTTGGATCTTTTGGTTCATTTTAAACCTTTTCATCATTTGATTTGTTAAATGAAGCAATTTTCCCCAGATAACTTTATTTTATCATAGATAGGTACATGCATTTGATATAAGTACATGGGATTGAAAGTTGGTGTAGACTGTTGCAGCACCAGTCTTAGGAAAACTGCACCGACAATTTACATTACCTACCCTATGCTCAACATTGTAGTTATTTTATTACTCAGTACAAGAAGTGTGGCAGGTAGAGAAATATGTGACTTCCATTTAGAAAGAGCATCAGTATGTGGCAAATAATTTATGCAGAGGACATAATTTTAATCTACGGTGCTGATCTATTTAATATCATGTGACAAGGAAAAAAGGGAGTTGTAAAATGCAATGAAGAAGGTGGTATTCTAAATGGGCTTTAAAGAATTCTGGAAATGGACTGAACATAGGGCATAAAAGTCTGGAGACAGAGGCTAGAAAAGTCTAATCTAGGGAATGGGGATAGAAGATTTGAGAGTGAATGAAGAGAGACCAAGGTGAGAAGTTTGTGTGTTACACCAGATTTTGGAGAGTCTGGGAATTCAGCGTTTATAAAAGTAGGGAAGGAAAGAATTGTAGAGGACCAAAGTAATGAAAATGGTTTAAAAAAAAAAATCATTGGAGTGGCTGGAGCAATAGCACCGCAGGTAGGGCCTTTGCCTTGCGTGCGGCCAACGCAGGTTCGATTCCCAGCATCCCATATGGTCCCCCAAGCACAGCCAGGAGTAATTCCTGAGTGCATTAGCCAGGAGTATCCCCTGTGCATTGCCAGGTGTGACCCAAAAAGCAAAAAAAAAAAAAAATCATTGGAGCAGTGTTATACAGATAATTGATAATAAATGTCTAAGACAGAGAAGCCCTAGATACAAAGGATGCTGCTAGTAGTAAAGACTTGAACTGGGAGTGAGTCATGCAGTGAAAGAAAGGATGGGAAGTCACAAAGCATAAAGGACAGTAATAGTATTGCTGTGCAGAAAATAAAGGAACGGCTGACATTGTAAACTGTACTGAAGGCTGAAGATGGAGAGCACCTGTTCTGCATGTCTGAGGCCTTGGTTCAGTCTCCAGCACCGTAAAGATCAGCTGGTAGCGGAAGGAGATAGAATCCAGAAATCTCACACTGAAACATAACAGCAAAAGGGAAAGAGAAGATGAAGAGTTTCGTAGATACTCTTTTGCTTTCACACAGTTTCTTACGCAAATCTTTGCCTGCTAAATTTGATGCAGCATAAAGTTTGCTCTACTTGGAAGCATTTTATTTTGTTTGTGGGGGGGGGGGGCAGTTGAGCCACAGCTGGCACTGCTCAGATGTGACCCTGACGGTGCTCAGGTAGGATTGGCAGCATACAAGACCACTTAACCCTGGACCATCTCTCTTTGGAAAAATTTGGTTTTAGAAATAAGTCCTTACATAGCATTCTATTCTAGAGGATTAATTAGTTCAGATCAGGAATATTTCTTGTCAATTTTAGCCCTACTTTCCCCAGTCTTAATCATGTAATGCCATTTCTTCTATCTAGAGACATATCAAAATAAGTCAACAGTTCCAGTAAACTTGAAATTTTGGATGGGAGGAATGATTTTGTATTTATTTGGGACACTGGAAAGTGCAGCTACTGTGTTCTTTCATCATGTTGTGGCTGGTATCCATGCTGGTGGTGTCCTATTTTATCCCCTGTCTTTCTCTAGCAGCTCTGTATCAATTTTTTCTTCTTTTTTTTCCTATTTTTTTTAAGTGTAGGCATCGTGATTTACAGTACTGTAAATGATTGTTTCATGCATACAGTATTCCAGTGATAGTTTAATGCATACAGTGTTCCAAAACCATACCCAGAGTATCCCAACCATAATGCATTTCTTTACTTTGGGTTTTTTTTTCTTCTTTTTGTGTCACACCCGGTGGTGCACAGGGGTTACTCCTGGCTCATTCACTTAGGAATTACTCCTGGCAGTGTTCGGGGGACCATATGGGATGCTGGGAATCGACTCCGGGTCTGCCGCATCCAAGGCAAAAGCCCTACCCACTGTGCTATCGCTCCAGCCCCCATAATGCATTTCTTAAAGGGTGAAAGAAAATGATTTTCTTCATCTGGGACACTTTGGCAGAGTATGTGGTGCTGGAATGTGTTATATACAGAATCCTATCTCTAATAGTTCTGTAAAGCATGGCTCCTAAAAAAAATTTTAATTTATATTAGAAAAAATTGTTAATTTTTTTACTTGAATTAATCTTATTTTCTGATGAATCCTTTGGCTCTAGTATTTACTACTGGTGGATTCTATTGATCATGATACCTTTCTAAATGCTGTTTTATATTCTAAATGCATTTTTGTTAAGTCTAAATAATTATAATAATCATGAAATGCATAATATGAATATAACAGATTGAAAAAGTGTTGCGTTTGTTTTGAATAAAAGCTAGATGTATTCTCTTTACTATTTTTGAAAAATATACAGAACGTATACCTTGCCTTGCATGTGGCTGACCCGGGTTTGATTCTTCTGACCCGGCAAGCTACCAAGAGTATTCCACCTGCACGGCAGAGCTTGGCAAACTCCCCATGGTGTATTTGATATGCCAAACACAGTAACAAGTCTCACAATGGAGACATTACTGGTGCCAGCTCAAGCAAAATTGATGAATAACGGGAGGACAGTGCTACCATGCTATGAAATGCATTTAAAATTTTAATATTGTTGAATAAGATAGTTATTTTGCTTCAAAAAATATTTAAATGTTGTTTTTTTTTGTTTGTTTTGAGGCCTCACACAGCCATATTCGGGTTACTCCCGGCTCTATGCCCAGGGATCACTCCTGGCAGGCTCAGAGGACTATTCGGGGTGCCAGTGATCCAACACGGGTTGGCCACATGCATAGCAAATGCTTTACCCGTTGTACTACTGCTTCAACTCTGGCTCCAAAGTTTTTAATATTTCGGGTTAAAAATACCATCTAAACTGGTAATGTGCTAAAGTGTATTAGAGGCAAAATTCTGTTCATTTTTTTTTGCTGCTGTCTTATAGAAAGGCAGAAAGCTAGAGGGTTTATCGGGAGAAGAGGCAGATCACTGGCCGCCTCCAGCATATTACACAAGGTACAAACTGCCGGGGTTAGGGTCACCTGGTACAGAAACAGTTCTTTTAGTCCCCAAGAAAAGGTGAGTGTTAGGGATATGCCGGTTTACTTTGACTTGTATCAGCAGATTAAGTCAAAATGCAAATGACTCCTTTTAGTAAGAAATGCACCTGTTGTGTGAACCACACTTCTTGTGTTGGGTAGACCACAACTTCACTGTTGGAAAATACTCATGAGAAACCAATTTCTGATTCAAAAATTGAGTTCATTGTGGGGTTAAGAGGCAGTTCAAAAGTTTAATTATAATCAGGCTATACTAATTGGAACTGTTGAACATGCCCTCCCTCCGGTCACGCTAAGTTGACTTTGAGGATGTCTCCCCTTCCTGGATGGCATCAGATGGCCACTGTCTGAGTGGGCCTTTCTGCTTTTATGTGGTAGGCGACTGCTCAGAGTCAGCCCAGGGTTTTGTTCGCTTATGTCTGGACCAGCCTTTTTGCTATACATATTTCTGGTTTGTTACGCACTTTTTATTTCAGCAATAATGAGTTCCGTTACTTATTGCTACCCATAACAGATCAGATGCATTCATTAGACTGTCCTATACTGCTGTAGTTCATTTAAACTTTCCAATTTTAAGCCCTAACAAAGTGTGTTGTTACTTCTTAGACTATCAGCCTATAATCTTTTATTTTTAATGTCAGTGCACTTTCCAAAACTTGGACTGCCTGCTCAAGAGAGCATCTTCCTGCCCTTTTCCCTCTTCCCTTCTCGTAAACAAAATCTTCATCTGAAAAGGCAACCACCACCACCCATAATTTTCACTTTCACAATTTTTACTTCCCTGAGCAAAGGAGATGTGCGTGTGTGTGTGTGTGTGTGTGTGTACATATATACAACTGCTTAAAGCAAAAATAAACAAGCGAAAAGTTTCTCAGTAACCAGAAGGAATAAAAAATAAAAAGGATCAGTGGAGCATGATAAGTTTAAATAGCATCCAGTTGCACCAGGCTTACCTTTAATTCTCATGGGGCTGGGTGTGCTCTCAGTCACTAACACTGAGGAGCCTGGGCCACGTTCCGGCAGCGTGCTTTCCTCACAGTCTCTTTCACAGGCTTCTCTTGAGTTTCAGACCTTTATCTATTACTTTTTCACTCTGTTTTCTTCCATTTTGCTTTTCATAAAATCTGATTCCCTTAGCAGTATATTCCTTTTTCCTTTTCAATTTTTGTTAATAGTCATGATTCACAAATTTACTAATAGTTGCATTTTAGGCAAACAACAGTTCAACACCAGTCCCTCCACCAGTGTCCGCCCCCTCCACCAGTATTCCCAGATTCCCTCCGCATCATCAGTGTCTCTCTGTCCTTGCCTTATAATCAATAATAATGCTGATTAGTTACAGACTCAGTGGAATAAAAAGCTGGCTCCCCCGTTTGTGAAAAGGGACTGTTAGCCTGGAGTTGTTCTTTGGTGCTGGTGAGGGTCACTGAGACCACCACAGCTCCCTGAGCAAAGGCCCTCTCAACACTGGTCTCTGCTTAGCCCCAAACACGAGAGCAATTTCTCAGGACCAGTGAGAGACAGACAGACAGACAGACAGAGAGATCAAATACCTCATTATCTGTGGAGCCAAAATAAGTCGCTCATTTTAATAGTTTCATTGGAAAGCAGTCTTTACAAAGAAATCTGCATTATACATTATAGATGTTCCTCCTTTATATCATTTTGGAAGCTTGGGGAGTTTGGGCCACACCCAGTGGTGCTTGTGGCTTACTCCTGGTTCTGCACTCAGGGATCTCTTCTGGAAGGGCTTGAAGGAACCATATGGGGGCCTGGGTTTGAACCCAGGTCGGCTATGTGCAGGGCATGTACCTTACCCTCTGTACTATCATTCCAGTGCTTCTCCTATGTACCTTGCATAAGTTATTGAGTATTATAAACTTTTCAAAATATGAAAGACTGATAACTCTTAAGATCAACTTTTTAATATGGAAGTGATCTTTTACTATCATTCAGGATTTTCATTCGACCTTTTTTATTAGACAGTAGGTACAGGTGTATCTTACAAGATATACCTCATGCATGTGTGTTCTCAAAATAGAGAGACATTCTTAAAACGTTCCATTTGAAAATGCCATTGTTTCGTAACTGTAGTAACTTCAGCTGTCAGGAAATAATAACAAAATTTGAAATAAATGGCAGATTTCATTTTTAAGAATTTTGTATACCTTTAAGGAATTAGTTTTTTTCTTCTCCCTCCCTTCGCCTCCCCTCTCCTCCCCTCTCCTCCCCTCCCCTCTCCTCTCCTCTCCTCTCCTCTCCTCTCCTCTCCTCTCCTCCCTCCTTCCCTCTTTTCCCCTCCTTCCTTCCTTCTCTCCTCCCCTTTCCTTCCCTCTCCACTCTCCTCCCCTCCCCTTCCCTCCCTTATCTTTTCTTCTCTCAAACTGTGTCTCAGAGGCTCGGTGCCTTCCCCCACACATACACACACACACACACACACACACTGAGGCCCTTGTCAGCCAGCCCATGATGCATGCTGCTGGCCAGGGCCCTTCCAACAATAGCAGGGGAGGGTCTAGGGCTTCACCCTGCAGTGCTGGGGAGTGGGCACCATATGCTGCCAGACTGGGCACGTGCCTGGTGTGCATACTAACCACTCCACTGTCTCCCAGCCCCAGAGTTTCTTCTGATTAACTGGAGATAATTTATCAGCACTTACAGATATTGTAGTTTTTGGTTTTGGTTTTTTCAAGAGGGAACGATGGAAGAGATCAATCTTACTATTGATAGTCCCTGGAAGATGGGCCTAAGCAAAGCAGGTTTAACTGTTTTAGCTGTACGCCTATATTCATTTTTTTTAATTTCAAAAGATTGGATTGTTCTTTTCTAATGCTTGTCAGATTTTTTGTTTTAATGAAGTGAGGTAGGTTTTATTAAAACTTATTTAGAAAGATGTGAGGGGAGAGAGAAGTACACATTCGCGAGAGAATACAGATTATCTAGAGTGGAATAGGCAGACAGAGCAACATCGAGACAGGAAAGGGAGATATGGGTTCACGGAGAACATAGGCTTGAAGAGCCTCTTGTAAGATTTTATTTAAGAATTTTGAAATAAGAAAATCAGGGCTGGAGCAATAGCACAGCGGGTAGGGTGTGTGCCTTGCACACAGCCAACCTGGGTTCAATTCCCAGCATCCCATATGTTCCCCCAAGCACCCCCAAGAGTAATTCCTGAGTGCATGAGCCAGGAGTAACCTCTGTGAAATGCCAGGTGTAACCCAAAAAGCAAAAAATAAGAAAATAAGAAAATCTTTTTATTACCAATTTTTTAAATATTACCTTTATAAATATCTCTATAAATATCTGAATCTTATCTTCCAATTACTTGATTTTTCCAGGCCCCAAATTCTCACCAGTCCATCTCCTTCAAAATCCATTCCAATCCCACAGCCTTTCCGACCAGCAGATGAAGATCATCGGAACCAGTTTGGACAGCGAGACCGGTCCTCGTCAGCTCCAAATGTGCACATCAACACAATCGAGCCTGTCAATATCGATGTGAGTATCTACGCTCTTCAAGCTCAAACATTCTCAGCTGTCGTTTAAACCTTCCTTTTACAAAGAAACTATAGAGCAGAAATACTGTCTTTGACTTTTCACAGTTTTTGTAAGTGACAGGCTTTTCTTGAATATCTTCACAGAATCTTTTTCATTTTCCCTGGGCTTTAAATATTTTTGTAAAATTATTGAGTTACTCTGATTTTTTTTCCTTCAGAACATCTCTACAAAAGTCTTTGTTAATTTAGGATAAGGAAAAAATGAAGATATAGTTGCAAATTTCTATTTAAATCCACTTGAAGTATTGATTTCTAACAGTATGTTGAATTAGCCTTAAAGCTACCTTTTCCTTTTTTTATTTGCTTAAACATGCAGTTCTGTTTTTTCTTTATGGCGTATCTTGAATTTCAGTTGGTTCTTTATATGTCATTTACCATTAGGTTTTAATCATTCTTTGTTTAAAATGCATCTTCTCTGGTCTGCCAACATACATACTGTCTTCATCTCTTGAGCCATTTCCGCCCCTTCTGGTGGGTCTCTCTTGGCCCCTCTCCAGTACATTTTCTATACTGTAATTCGTGCTAGTGTCATTTCTTTAATTAGGCTAACTAGCACAGCAGAAATCACTCTAGAAAGTTGCCTCAGCATCTATCTTCGAACTAAACACATAAAAAGTTACCAGGAAATTAAAGGACTTTAGAAGATACATAATTTAGATCAGGGTTTAACAAACTCTTCCTTAAAGAGCCAGGTAGTAAATATTAGATCTCTAATGACAATATTTATTAGTATTTTTCTTGTTGTTCTTATTTTCATGGCTCTTGAATCCCATCGGGCAATGCCCATGGACTCCTCCTGGCTAACCACTCAGGAGTTTTTCCTCAGAGTGCTCCAGGGAACCTGATGTGCTAAGGATCCCATCCAGGACTGACTCCTGCATGCAGAGTGGGTATTCTAGCCCTGTGAGCCTTCTCCCTGGCATCTAGTGACAGTGTTAAACTCTGTCATTGTCATAGATAACACATTCATGACAAATGGTTGTGGCCGTATTCCCATAAAAACCTAGAGCATAGAACGTATTTTGCCTTTCCCAATAGAGACAAGAAGAACGGGAAGAGTGGGTTATTCAGAAGATTGCGTAATGAAGTCATTGTCCATTGCAGATGAGAATAAAAGGCCATTGCTGTCTGCATTGTGGCACCTCAACAATCCTGACCTTGGATTTAGGTGTCATTTCTATCAGGATTTGATTGTTGAAGAGTGAGCATACTTATCCTTAAAATGTGATAAGCAGCAAAACTGAGAAAACTGACCAAGTTTACTTCTCAGAAAGTAATTATTTTTAAAGGAAAACCAGAACCTCAAAGCCAAGGATGACGTTCAAGTGCTAATCCCAAATTCAATCCCTGGCACTACATGGCCCCTTGAGTTGCTAGTACCAGCCACATTCTGACCATAATCAGAAAGCAAAAAATTGTTTCCCATATGAATCGGGTACTGGGTTAGTGAGTTGATGTACGTATTGGTGCAAGGGTTTGTTCTCATTCATTACACATGCAGCCCCTCTATCTCAGAGGTAGAAGGTTCATGAGGGAAGAGAAGCGAGTCTTCACAGGAAAATATTTGGTAATGAGCAGATTGCTTTCATGGTAGAACCCAGTCAGATGTCCTCCGTTTTATACCAACTTTCATTAAGCCACAATCCAACATTTAGGGGCTAAAGAGATAGTACAGTGCATAAAATGCCTGCCTTGTATGCAGCTGTCCTGGGTTCAGTCCCCTGAGCACTGCTGATTGACCCTCCCCAACCAGCCCCAACCTTCCCCCAAAAAGTCCAACATTTCAATGAAAACAATGCAAATTGATTGCAAAACTGCCCCCCCCCCCAAAAAAGATGGACCAAAGCGTAATACAGAAGTTAAGAAGTTTGCCTTGCGTGCGACTGACCCCCAATTTAATTTCCCAGAGCCATGTATGAGAAGAGCTAGGTATAGTTCTCAGCGCTGCTGGGTGTGGTCCAGATTCCCATCCAACCCCCCAAAAAAGAGAGATTATAAGAGTTTAGTGAAGATAGTGAATAATGAATGACTTGGGAGAAATACTTAAATAATCTGAAGCCATTGAAAGATAAGAATACATTAGAATTAAATTCCTCCTGTTAGCAATCTGTCACTGTCACTGTCCTCCCATTGCTCATCAATTTGCTCAAGTGGGCCCAGTAATATCTCCATTGTGACACTTGTTACTGTGTTTTTGGCATATCAAATACGTCATGGGTAGCTTGCCAGGCTTTGCCATGCGGGCAAAATACTCTCGGTAGCTTCTGGGCTCTCCAAGAGGGACGGAGGAATTGAACCTGGGACTGCCAGGTCGGCCGCGTGCAAGGCAAATGCCCTACCCACTATGCTATCACTCCAGCCCCTAGAAGAGAGAAAACCCACCAGGATGAGAATATATTTAATAGGCTCTTCAGCTTAAAATGATTTAATGCAAATGGATTGTTAGAAACCTTTGAGGAAATTGGAGCCCTCTAAAATTTTAGTTAAAATAATAACTATTGTGCTGTAAAAAGATAAAATTAAGAATTTTCAGTTTGAATTATGACAAACTTGGTCCTTTGTTTATTCAGGAAGCTTGCATGTTATTGAAATAACAGTATAAACTTTGTTGAATATAAAAGGAAATAATAAACTGTTAAATTTCTTTGTGTTTTGCTGCGGGACCCTCCCAGTGTGGTGCTGTGGTCTCAGAGGACCCATGGTGCCAGATTGAGCCCAAGCCTCCTGCATGCAAAGCACGCACTGGAGCCCTTTGAGTTTTCTCGCGAGGCCTGAATTTCATTTTTCAACATAAGTTTTCCAATCAAACTTTCTTCCTGCTTTTTTTTCTGTGAAACTTTTTTATAAGAGGCCTTTCGGCCGGAACCTTCAGCGCCCAGTAAATTGCAAAAATGACCAACACAAAGGGAAAGCGGAGGGGAACCCGCTTATATGTTCTCTAGACCTTTCAGAAAACATGGACTTGTTCCTTTGGCCACATACATGCGTATATACGAGAAAGGTGGTATCGTAGGCATAAAGGGAATGGGCACTGTCCAAAAAGGAATGCCCCTCAACTGTTATCATGGCCAAACTGGAAGAGTCTACAATGTTACCCAGAATGCTGTTGGCATTGTCGTTTACAAACAAGTCAAGGGCAAGATTCTGGCCAAGAGGATTAATGTCCGCATTGAGCATATTAAGCACTCTAAAAGTGGAGACAGCTTCCTGAAAGGGGTGAAGGAAAATGATCCAAAAAAGAAGGAAGCCAAAGAAAAAGGGACTTGGGTTCAACTGTAGCGCCAGTGTGCTCCACCCAGAGAAGCACACTTTGTAAGAACCAAGGGAAAGGAGCCTGAGCTGCTGCAGCACATTCCCTATGAATTCATGGCATGAGAGGTGTTTGTTTAGAAATAAAGAGACACCTGTACTATAGAAAATTAAAAAAAAAATTTTTTAAAAACCACTTTTTTTTTATAAGGGGTTCATTTTAGTAGTGTTTTCCTAATATCAATTTTCTTCAACTAAAAAGTCCTCTAGCTAGCTAGACTTGAGTATTAAGAAATTAGTAGAGGAAGAAAATTCAGAAATAAGAGGTTGTGAAATAGGAAACAAAAGCATATTTCTGCGTTATGTTTATTCTTGGTGTGTCCAAAACTGTAATTTTCATCCTTTTAGAATATATCCCTGTATTAGTGTTTTCTTAATCTGTTGGACTTATGTCATGTTTATTTCATAATCCTTCCAACCTCTCCTGTTACCAAATAGTCAAGTGTTGCTTACCACCATCTTTTTTGCTTTGATGTGTATTTCAAGTTTGTTCTTGTCACCACTGTTACTTGAGTTGCTGCTTTTTCACTTGAACTTAATAATCTCCTGTGTGTATTTCCCATCACTGATTTCCTGCTATCATTTCCATTCTTTGTACTGCCAGTAGAATCATTTTTCACACCTCATCCTATCTCCCCTTCTTCTGAAATTTTTGATGACTTCTAATGACACTAAGAGGCATTAGTATTTTCATTTAATTTTTATCATTTACTTCATTCTATTTCAGTCATTATTATTTGAGTAAACAAGATTTTAATATTGACTTTTGGGAAAGGCACCAGAACAGGCATTTGAGAATTACGGATGAATTAATAGATGATGTTTCCTTCAGATATGTCAGTCTAGTCAGCCATAAAAACACTCACAAAAATACATAGTAAAGAGATGTGATAGTACAGCTGGGTAAGGCGCTTACCTTGCCCGTGACTGACCTAGGTTCAATCTAGTTCAAACCACTAGGTGTGGCCCAAAAGCAAAACAAAAACATATATGTATATAGTCATCATTTTATGGGATGATAAAACTCTACCTGATAGAATCTAGGAATATTTAGTAGAGAAGGGGCAACATTTCACCAATATTAATAAAAGATGAAAGAGTAGGAGTTCATTAAATATATCAGGAGCTGGGTTGAGGAATGAAGGGCATTGGCTGAGGAAATAATGAGCACACTGACCCGGAAGTACCTTCCCCTGGGGTACTGTGTGGGCGTTCAGGAGATCTTGAGAAGCTCTGCGGATGGCATTGTGTAGTATTCGTGGGTCTCGAGAGGAGACAAGGAGTAGGACAGAAAGTCATGGATTCTCTATTTTTGAAAAATCTATTTAATTAAAGATTAGGTTGTCAAGGCAGGAATGATGAAAATGGCTGCTCTTGAGGAGTACTTGCTGTGCACCTGGTACTATGCACAGTACCTCAGATAAATTTCCTATTTCCATCCTCATAAACACCCATGGGTCAAATACTAATATTATTTTGAATTTGCGGTTAGGAAAATTCTAGAAAAATGGGAAACTCATACAGTTGGTAAAGTATTGACAAGAGCATAAAACCTGGTCGGCCTTTCTTTTTTCTTTCTCTCTTTTTTTTTCTTTGTTGTTTTTTGTTTTGCTTTGCTTTTCAGGTCACACCCCAGCGATGCTCGGGGTTACTCTTGGCTCTGCACTCAGGAATTACTCCTGGGGGTGCTCGGGGGACCATATGGGATGCCGGGTCGACTGCAAGGCAAACACCCTCCCCACTGTACTATCGCTCTGGCCCCCAAGACGGCCTTTCTTACGCTCTGCCTCCGTTGCCCGCAGTAGAGGAGTCTAGAGGGAAAGGCTGAAGAAGTAGAGAAGACCTCGGTGTCTTCATTGAAGGGATAGTGTTTATTCCCTTTTTTAGTACTGAAGAGGTAGTACAGGGGTAAGACACTTCCTTGCCTCGCATGTGGCAGACCGTGGTTCTGTCCCCAGCACCTCATAAGGTCCCCTGAGCAGGAGTGATCCTTGAGCGTAGAACCAGAACTAAGCCCTGAGCAAGGCTTAGTATGACCCAACCCCTCATCCCCCTCACCCCATAGGAAATACCAAATGAAGTAGATAGGATTTTTAGAAATAAATTATGCTAACTTTCATGGACTAGAAATATAACTCACCGGGCTGGAGCACACGCTTTGTATGACGAGGCCTCAGGTTTGATCCCCCGCACTGCATGTCCCCTACCCACTGCCAGGAGCACTGAGCTCTGAGTCAGAATAACCCCTAACCACTGCTGGCTTTGCTCCCTTCCCACCGCCCCCAGTTTTTAATCCAATCCAGTTTTTAATCCAATCTCCCAGGGACTAGAAAGATAGGACAAGGGTTATGGTGCTTGACTTGCATCCTGGTTCAAATCCTTGGCACCACATGTAGCCCCCTGAGCACGGCCAGGTGTGGCCCAAAATAAAAATCAGAACATAATGATCATCATTTTTATTTTGGAACTAAATGACTTTAAGATGTCTGTGGACACACCCCTGTATTTTTGCTGTTGGAAATCTAGAAGCAATTGAATACAGTTCACAGTATATGTAAAATTTAAAGCAGGCAGAAAGCTCCCCACCCCCTGCCCCATGAACATTTCTTTTAGGATTCCCTTTTCTAAAGCCCACTTCAGAGACGTGAGAGAAAGTAGTGTTGCAGAAACCAAAGGTACAAAAGGGATTTCGAGAGACTGAAGGTTGTCATTTGTCCTAAAACACAGCTGAAATGAGGACTGGCAATCCCTGTTGGCTTGTCCATTCACAGCTCATTTGGGCGTCATTGAAAGCGGTTTTTAAAGGTCAGTGGAGAGGAGCAAGGCAGACTGAGATGTGAGAGTCCGTTTTGAGCTCTGACAGATGACGAGGGGGCTGGGTGGAGCTGAGTGGGGAGCACCCTCATTCTGTGGGTGAGGGTCTCATGCCACCAGAACGAGATCGAAGAGGAATAGCCAGGGGGGTCACTGAAGCAGGCAGAGGAACTCGGTCTTTAACACAAGCCCTCAGCATGTTTTTCACTTGGAGGAGAGAAGCCAGTGGAGAGGTTGAAATAATGAGTGATTGATGTTGTGGAAGTTCCACGGAGACCCGGAGGAATTGAAGGCGGACATTGCTCCCTCTGCGGCTCTTTGCAGGCTGCACGACCTTGAGCAAACAATTTCATGTCTGTCTCTTGTAGTGGTTTGAAAATGCTTGTTTTACCTGCCCCGTGGTAAGAGTTCAGAAGATATAATAATCACCCTGGTATCACAGATAAGGACAAAAGGTTCTCTAGACGGGTTGTTTTCTCTGTCATGCGAAAGGGGAAGAGGAGGACTCTGAGCCGAAGATATGGCTCAAAGTGCTTGAGTAGAGCCCTGGGTTCGAGTCCCAGCTTCATATGGTCCACTGAGCTGGAAGTGGACCACCTGGCATGGTCTGCATCCCACCCAACCCCCCAAAAAGAAAGAAACTAGGAAGCTTGGGAAAGGTTTGAAATGGTATTAGACTCCTCCATGATCCTGTTGAAACAGAGCAAGGGGCCAAAGAGGTGTCACGTGGCTGCGGCCTGCGGCCGTGCACAGGCCCCGGCTCCTGGGCCACGTGGTTCCTGAGCACTGCCAGCTGTGGCCCCCAAGCCAGCGAACAGTAAATCTGAAATTTCAAAATGAAGGGTGTTTGGGGAGACACTCAGATACTGAAGCACGAGCCTGGCATGCGCAGGAGCCGGGGTTTGGCCCCGGCACTGCTCGATGTGGCTCGGGTGCCCCAGCACCAGCGGGGAGATGGTCAGTAAAGGTGGTGGCTGTAAGTGTGGAGACATAGAGTAGGGGAGATGGCGTTTCTGCATTTAGCTTGTTGACTTTTGTATGCTTGAGGGACCGTTGGGCTACACCAAACACAGCGGCTATGTAAGGCTTAGGGGTCAGTGCCGGGGCTCAGCTGCATGCAAGGCAAGTGTCTTATCCCCTTTCCTGTGTTCCCAGCCCTGTCTTGTGTTTCTGTCTAGTGAGCCTCTTTCTTAACAAAACCCCTATTTATGCTCCAAGCCCCAGCTTGTTAGCCATCTCTTCAAACAGTCCTGCAGGTTTTTGCCCTTTTTAATTTGTGTAGCACTAAGAAATATGTTCATCCTTATCATTTCTTTGACATTTGCCTGGGCAGTTTTGACATCTTTCCTTGTTTTCTTTTTTGTTTGTTTGTTTGTTCGTTTGTTTTTGTTGTTGTTGTTTGGTTTTGGTTTTGGGTAGTACTTGGTGCTTACTCCCCATAGAGCGTTTGTAGTTTGCTCCCTGCAGTGCTCAGGGGAGCACGGTGGTCCCTGCCTGGCATGAAACTTGGGATCCTATGAGCTACCTCCCAGTCTTTTTATTGTTTTCTTCAGCTGCTGTTTTTCTGTTGGGGTGTGTGTGTGTGTGTGTGTGTGTGTGTGTGTGTGTGTCTCACTTCCTCTTAGATTGTAGGATCTGAGGAACTCAGAAGGTTAGTTAAACTACTAGGATTTTAAATTTATTGGTAGCAAACATAGTACCTTGTTTGCAGCCATATGCATATTGATGATTCTGCCGAAAACCCTGAAGGCTTTATGTAATGTATCAGACATGATATAAATACAGCTGTAAAGAATTTACGGTTTTTGTTTTAGCCTCTAGTTAAAAAATTGCCTAATTATCAAGAGCCTAGTTCGAGACATTTGGGACTGTTCCATCTTTATTAAAGTTGCACTGAGTAAAGTGATGATAAAGTGCTACCTTTAGAGGTCTAAAATGCTCAGTCAGAAAAAATGGAGGGCGGGGGGTTGCTGGTGTGATAGCACAGCAGGTAGGGTGTTTGCCTTGTACACAACTGACCCAGGTTTGAGTCCCAGCATCCCATCCCATATGGTCCCCTGAGCACCGCCAGGAGTGATTCCTGAGTGCAGAGCCAGGAGTAACCCCTGTGCAATGCCAGGTGTGACCCAAAAAGCAAATTGGAGCGATAGCACAGCGGGTAGGGCGTTTGCCTTTCACGCAGCCAACATGGCCGACCCGAGTTCGATTCCTCCGCCCCTCTCGGAGAGCCCGGCAAGCTCCCGAGAGTATTCGATATGCCAGACACAGTAACAACAAAATAAAATAAAGTAAAATAAAATGCTCACTCAGCAATAGACTCTTTCCCACTCACAGCATTGGAGTAAAAAGCTATATGGATTTCTTTCCTTTTAAACAATTTTTTTTCTTTTTTAGTCTTTTGAGCAGCACCTAGCCATGCTCAGGACCTACTCCTGATATCAAGGATCACTGCTGGTGGTGCTCAGGACATACACAGTGTTGGGGCTCGAACCCGACTCACTGCAAGCACCTTACCAGCTGTACATCTCAGCAGCACAAAGCTATATTTTAGTAACAGTGACACAGTTCAACAAAACCTTTGTTGGTTGTTTTTTTTCCCCTACTAGTGTGTCCTGATGCATTCGTGTTTTTATTATTCCAATCAATGTGCATTTAATTGTATTCTTTTATTGTATTGTAAACATTTTATAATTCAAACCTCGTCATTGTTTTAGTTTAGCACAATGCTTACTAAATCAATATCATAATTTCGTTAACCAGTATGTCAGTATATCTATAATAGGGAGATTATTTCTGATTTTTTTACTATGGTGATAATGCTACACTAAACATCTTTGTGCATGATATTTTTTCTCTGAATTATTTCCTTAGGGAAAATTCCCAGAATTGGAATTACAGGATCAAAGGGTATGAACATTTTATGGCTCTTAATATGTGCCAGTAGAATGATGGGTTTTTTTGGGTATTTTTTTGTTGTTGTTGTTGTGGTTTTTTTTTTTTAAAGAATTGATACCGCATAGGTTATCATATGACGTGAATTGGATTGCACCATTTGATCAGGACTAATAATCTCTTCCATATAGGGTTAGGTTGGCAAGTGCTTCTGAATTTTTATTTCATCATGTTCACTCATGTTCCATACTCTCTTGTGCAGTAATTGTAAGACAGGTATTATTTTGAATTTACTTTTATGTTTATTAATGCTTAATGGAAATTTCATTGTTAACTACCTTCATACCATATGCTTTGAATAAATATGCATTACTGTTTATTTGTAGGACTTGATTAGAGACCAAGGGTTTCGTAGTGATGGAGGTAAGTAGTGATTTTAATTTAAAAAAAAAAGGGGGGAAATGCAATTGCTTTGCTGCTTGTTTCCTTTATATTTGCTTCTTTCATGAAACACAGACACAGAGAAAAATGTCTAGAGAAGACTCAAGTTTTGTGTTCTTTTTTACTACTTAAAACATCGAGGTCTAATAGAGCTTTAATTTATCACATGAGTAGGGAGAAAGGGAATCTTCAGTGTTTAATCTACAATTTTCAAGTGTTATCCTGGTAGGATCCTTAATTATTTTACCCACTTTATTAATTCCTAACCATCTCCAAAGCTGAAGACACTAAATTACCTCTGGGAGCTCCAGTGATAATTAAAGATTCGGCTTGGAGTCAGTTAAAACTTGAAATTTCTAAGTAATTCTTTGAGAGAGAAGCCCTAGAATCGTCTGTCACAACTTTTCAGCTTGACAGACCTTGTCAGCCACTTCCCTTCGGCCTTCTAGAAGGGTTTTCATGTACCTTTAATCAAATGGCCACCCAGAGTTTTCATCTGATGCCGATGAAAATTGGGATGATAAGAAAACGCTGCTTAGGAAACCAGTTCTCAGATTAGAATTTGCCCTGTATGTAATTTCTGAGAGAGGGCACTTGAAAAGTACCTTGAAGTTTATCTTCCAGGTGGCCCTCTTACTTTCCTTTTCCTCAGCCTAGTAAGAAGACCCATGGTACTCGCGTGCCTTAGTTAGAGTGGGTCTCTAGCGTTAGAATACCTAAGGCCCACTCGAAGATTTCTTTTTAATAAACACTGTAGAAATCATTTTTGTTCTGTCGCTAAATACATAAGGAGCTATGAGAATAATGACAGCCCTGCATGATGTACTGTGGCCTTAGTCCTTACTAGAGCACATAGTGTTTAAAGATTTCTTTTGTTTGTTTGTTATTCCATGAGCCCACCGTTACTGTTGCTGCCAGTTTGACTTGCATATGTCGTAATAGCTGTGGCTTTGGATAATTCTGCCCGATGCATCCAGCATTTAAATGTTGCCATCATGTTAGCATCACAGAGTTAATTTAGTTGTAAAAGCTGCCTGCTTAGTACTGAAATCAAGTGGCATTTCGTGTCCTTCTTATGAGTCATTTAAAGAACTTAACTGGGATTTTATGAAACTGAGCGTATTTTTAAAACATCCAGAGCTGTTTTATGAAGCTTAATGAGGCTTCGACTCATTTATTTATTCCCATGACTTCTTTCATTTCTTCTGTGTGTCTGTCTTCCTGTGTCTGCCTGCCCCTCTCTTTCTCTTCTAACAGCCCCTTTGAACCAGCTGATGCGCTGTCTTCGGAAATACCAATCCCGGACTCCCAGCCCCCTCCTCCATTCTGTCCCCAGTGAAATAGTGTTTGATTTTGAGCCTGGCCCAGTGTTCAGAGGTAGTTGGGCTCTTCTTTCTTGTTTTCACCCCAACCAAACTCAGTCTAAACTCCCGGCAGAGCCTGTGCTCACCCTCACAGCGTGCTTGTGAGTGTGAGAGTCCCCTCTCCGTGTCTGCTTGGCCTGGCTGCTCCGCTCTGCCTGCGCCTCTCTCGAGCACTGTATGCTGTCTGTCCTGACGTTTGAAAAGCAAGAACATTCTGGGCTGACATTGTCATTTGGGGGCTTGGTGACTTCCAAAAATCAGTGGGTGGCAGTAATGGGGGGTGGAGGGTGGGGGAGAGGGGGAATTTCATCCCTCCCGAATTCCTTTTAATTTCAGTTCATTTTGGTGATAATCTTATTACTAGAATTATCCTTTTTGATTTTAAAACTATAAAAAAATAAAATGGAAATCCCTATTTACGAGATTTTACTAGACTTTGGCCTTTCCTATAATGTCAGCAGTGTTGTATTCTTAATGTAGGGTGTGTCTTATTTGTACTAAAAAAAAATAGGGAGCTTTAAGGGGCCGGAGCCTTAGTACAGGGGTGCCTTGTGTGTTGTATGTGGCTGACCCTGTTTTGATCCCCGGCATCCCATATGGTCCCCCAGGCACCGTCAGGAGTAATTCTGAGTGCAGAGCCAGGAGTAACCCCTGAGCATTGCAGGTGTGGCCCAAATACAAACATAAAGGTAGGGAGCTTTTTAAAAAGATGAATGTTTTACATATGTTAGCATACTTAAGAGTTGAGTTTTATGCTTTTGCTCCTGCCCTAACACAAGAAAAACATTAGCTGTGTAATTTCATTCTCCCACTTCATCTTGCATAGTTTTATTAGTGATTAAATTATTGGTGATTAGATTAAATTCTTTATTTTTATTTATTTTTTGTTTGGGGGCCACACCAGCAGTGCTCAGGTATGACCATGAGTGGGCCCAGTGATCAAACCAGGATTGGTCATCTGCAAGGCAAGTGGCTTACCTGCTGTACCATCCCTCTGGCCCTGACTGTTTTTATTTTTAAGTAAAAATGGAGGTAGGCATCTTAACAAATATTTTGAAAGAATTTTGTTTACTGGCTCTTGCTAGTTAATTGTTGTCCCTTACTCTAAACAGTGATAGTGGTGGTTCAGATTTTGGCTCTCTCAGCCCAATTGTTTCTCAGGAAATCCCTAGCATGGACCAGGAGTCACACAGTACCCGGTGGTGTAATCAGAGTAATGCCATGTGGTACTGAGCGAATCAAAGCCAAAAAACCTCACCAAGTAGTCAGAGCTTTATGAGATTGAGTTATCGGGAAAGATAGAGCACAGATTGTTCTCTACACTGGATACCATTTTTTTTGGAAAATTGCCCATGGAATGATAAAAATTTCAGTTGATAGCATCTGACATAGTACTGATAGATTTTGCGGGGGGAGGAGGAGTCTCACCCAGCGATATTCAGGAGTTATTTCTGGCTCTGTTCACTCAGGAATTAATAATTCCTGGCAGTGCTCTGTATACCATATGGGATGTGGGAGATTGAACTTGGCTCGACCACATGTAAGGCAAACACCCTACCTACTATACAATCGCTCCGGCCCCATTACTGATAATTTTTTTGCATCGATTTAAGATTTATGTATTGTAATTGGTATCGTGTCCTTTGAAAGATGATGACTTTATCCACCCTCTCTTTGAGAACAGTATTTTTAAATCCTTGAAGACTTTTGTTAACATATATACAGATATTCCTTGGCACTGCAGCCCTAGTGGTCTGTGCTCAATTTCACTAGGAGTCTTGCTTTGAATCCTTCTGAACCAGATTCTACCCTGCTTTAATTCAGAATTTTTGCCCTCAAGTCAGCAGTTGGGAAGGTACGCATCAGAAAGGTGTGGAGCCTGGCCCAGTGAATCTACTTTCAGAGAGTCGGCTCAGCTGGGCTCACTCAGCTGGTAAAATATTTGCATTTGTAGTTACTTTAGACTTCATAGAACTTACTTTCTGAAAGCAGAGTTTTCAGAAATTCTTGGAAAGCCTGCTGGGCTTTGTTTTTATTATTTTTATTATGCAAACAAAAAAATCATTGTTTAGTAACATAAACCTCAAGGAGCCATTGAAACTGACAGATGTCTCTTAATTTTGAATTATGATATATAGGATTTTTAGTCTTTTATTAACTAACGTGAAAGAGCCAGAGCCAGATAGTTTCCACATTAAGGCCATTATAGTATGTTTCCATTTGGGAGTTTCCATCTTTTTAATACGTTTTGACTGTTGAAGAAAAAGAATTAAAAGCTAATTTACTAATTGGCTAAAAGTCCTTTTAAAAAATGTGGTTCTAATCAGCAAAAGAGGCAGGCCCCTTTTTTACCTGTCCTGTCCAAAAGATGAGCTATTTGAAAATGTGCTGTATTATTTAAGTAAGTGTAACTCTTCCCCCTACCAGCCCCCAGTAACTTGCCCTGCCCCATCCTCCCTTAATGGATGCTTTTCTCTTTCAACAACAGGATCGACGACAGGATTGTCAGCCACCCCCCCTGCCTCCTTACCTGGCTCGCTCACTAATGTGAAAGCTTTGCAGAAATCTCCAGGACCTCAGCGGGAGAGGAAATCATCCTCATCCTCGGAAGACAGGAATCGAATGGTAAGAGAACGTGAAGCCTCTTCTCTTGACCTGTCAGTTCTTCTCTTAAAAAAATTGTGACCAAAGGCGGTGCCCTCCTTTGCACATGACTTCTTTGTTATAAGAATTATGTGTGTGCGCCTGACGTGCATTTTTCATTATCAAGTAATTTTAAGAATTGATCAGAGTTTTTTTGCTTAAAATACATTCTCGCTACACTGATTTTTGTTCTCAGATACAGTTAACAGTAGTTTGAGAATAATACTAGTAAGTTAATCTTTTAAGAAGCATCGTTATGCATAGATGTTCGTTCTAGAAGGGTAGACTTCAAATAACTGACAAATCACATTCCTTTCTATATGAAAATTATTCTGCTACAAAATGAATCTATGCTAAAAACTAAACTTTGGCAACAACATATGTTGGACAGTTGAATTACCAAAATTATAGTATAGATTTTTTTTTATTCTGAATTAGATAAGATATTTTAAAAAACTTCATTCTTGAAGTAGAATAAAGAGTTGATAAATTATCAGCAGTCATCATATATATTTAAAGTTTTGGCCTTTGAAGTGAAAAATAATCACATTTAGTATTTGTCTGCCCCTACTAATTCTTCAGATAATAAAAGGTCGTTTTATTGATTCTAGTAATATATACCAAATATATATCAAATTATACCAAACAGATTGCATTTTACTAAGTTGTTTCTATCCTGATAATAACTTTGGTCTTAAATTTAAGTTGTTCAGTGTAGCAATCATACTTCTTTATTCTTGGAGGGTATCTTACGCTCTCCCTAAGTGAAGAGAATATATCCCTTTAAAGTATAGGAGAATAGGCCAGAGTGATAGTGCAGTAGGCTGGGCATTTGCCTGGCACACAGCTGACCCAGGCATCCCATATCGTCCCCCGAGCACTGCCAGGAGTGATTCCTGAGTGCAGAACAAGGAGTAAGCTCTGAGCATCGCTAGGTGTCACCCAAAAAGAAAAGCCAAAAATCAAGATAAAAAAGCATATCATTATGCACCACAGATCAGATCAGAGGCTTTCCTCTTTTGTTTGTTTTCTTGACTTTTACCCTGTTTTTTTTTTTTGTTGTTTTTTTTTGTTTTGTTTTGTTTTGTTTTTTTTCAGAAAACACTTGGAAGGAGGGATTCAAGTGATGATTGGGAGATTCCTGATGGGCAGATCACTGTGGGACAAAGAATTGGATCGGGATCATTTGGGACTGTCTTCAAGGGAAAGTGGCATGGTATGTATGTAATATGATGATGATCTCCCAAGTTCTACTAGGGTATCTTTAAGTTGTGGTTAAAATAGCAAAGGAGGGGCTGGAGCAATAGCACAGCAGGTAGGGCATTTGCCTTGCACGCCGCCAACCTAGGTTCGATTCTCAGCATCCCATATGGTCCCCTGAGCACCGCCACGAGTAATCCCTGAGTGCATGAACCAGGAGTAACTCCTGCGCATCACCGGGTGTGACCCAAAAAGAAAAAAATAATAGTAATAATTAAATAGCAAAGGAGTAAGCCCTGAGCACAGCCGGATGTTGCCCAAAATCCAAAAACTAAAATATTGAAGGAATCATTCACTATTTGCGTTAGTAGGATTGTCGATGGTCGTAGTCCCGTAGGTACCCCCCCTTCCCGCCAATGATTCTCAGCTAATGTTTGAATGCCAGGACCCGAGGATGAGGATGCAGTGCTACTCAGGCCCTGGGGTGCTGGGAACCACTCAGGACACTTAGCAGGGACACAGGGCTACGCCAACAATACTCAGAGAGTAGGTGTTGCCTGGGAATCAAACCAGGGTCGGCTGTGTGCAAGACATGATCCTTAACCCTATGCCATCTCTCCAAGCCCTTACTAAACTATTTTGATCAGATGCAAAAATCATCCAAAGGTTTCTATTAAAATTATGGGCTATGTTTATTTTATACTTTTTATATTCACTGTCACTGTCCTCCCATTGTTCATCGATTTGCTCGAGCGGGCCCAGTAACATTGTGAGACTTGTTGCTGTGTTTGGTATATCGAATACGTCATGGGTAGCTTGCCAGGCTTTGCCATGCAGGCGAGATACACTTGATAGCTTGCCAGGCTCTCCGAGAGGGGTGGAAGAGTCAAACTCTGGTCAGCCATGTTGGCTACACGCAAGGCAAATGCCCTAGTCGCTGTCCTATCGCTCCAGCCCCATTTATGCTTTTTAATAGTAGTATTTCTAAAAAAGATAGGCATCTCCAATTCTCTGTTCTAAAATGTTTTATTTCTTCTGGAAGTTTTTCTTTCAAAAATTTTATCTGTCCTGTAAACCATAAGTAAGTATTAAAAATGTACTTACCCACGGAAAAATGGCCAACAGCAAATAAAATGTCAGCCTCACTAATTACTAGAAATTTAGAAATTCAGGTACTATAGAAATTGTTCAAAGGGCTGAGCACTTCTTTAAATACAGTAGCCCCAGGATCAGTTCCCAGCATCTCATGGTCTCCCAAGTTCAGAGCCAGGAGTAACCCCCAATATCACCCAAAAAGTAACCCACAAAAGGATTACACAGTCATGTGTTGCTGGGAATCAAACCTGATTCGACCACTGCCAGGCAGATGCACTACCCACTGTTCTCTCTCTCTCTCTCTCTCTCTCTCTCTCTCTCTCTGGACCATTGGTTTTTATTTATAGCATAGTGGTGGGGCATTCGCCTTACAAGCGGCCAACATGGCCGACCCGAGTTCGATTCCTCCGCCCCTCTCGGAGAGCCCGGCAAGCTACCGAGAGTATTCGATATGCCAGACACAGTAACAACAAAGTCTCCAATGGAGACGTTACTGGGCCCGCTCGAGCAAATCGACGATCAATGGGAGGGCCTTTACCTTTTACCTTACCTTATTTTAATTTTGCTTTTCACTTCACATCCAACGATGCTCAGGGTTTATTCCTAGCTCTACACTCAGGGGTCACTCCTGGTGGGCTCAGGGGACTGTATCGGATGCTGGGGATCAAACCCAGGACTGCTGTGTGCATAACAAGCACCCTACCCACTGTTCTACCATTCTGGTCCCCGAGTTTTATTTTTTTAATGTTAACTAGCCTGATGTTAAACTAGCCTATAAAGAAGTTTGCTGTTTTTCAGGCTGGAGCGATAGCACAGCGGGTAGGGTGTTTGCCTTGCATGCGGCCAACCCTGGTTCGATTCCTCTGTCCCTCTCAGAGAGCCTGGCAAGCTACTGAAAATATCCCACCCACACGGCAGAGCCTGGCAAGCTCCCCGTGGCATATTCGATATGCTAAAAGCAGTAACAACAAGTCTCACAATGAGACGTTACTGGTGCCTGCTCGAGCAAATCGATGAACAATGGGAGGACAGTGCTACAGTGATGTTTTGAACCTATTGACTATAGTTTTAACATAAAGTTAAAAACTGCATCCCGTTTAATATCATTAAATTTAAAAAAAATGGAAATAGAGCCAATGTGACCCTAGACCACAGTAATAAATATCCAAGGAAATGCTCTGAGTACTGAACTGATAGACTAAATTTTCAGGAGAAACACATAGTTGGCTTTCTTTGGATTGGTATTTTGAAGTATTATTTCAGGGAATATTATTGTTAGTTTGGATTTTATCATTAGAAAAGTGCTGCAGTTGGGACAGTTAAGGTGTAATTTACGTGCAAGTCATGGACTTAAATTAGGGACTTAATTACTTGATTGGAAATGATAGTCAAGAAATTTTTTTTATGCTTTAAGTCTTCTAAACTGAAGTGACATTTGGCATGACAATCACCTTTTAGGTGACGTGGCAGTGAAGATGTTAAATGTGACAGCACCCACACCTCAGCAGTTACAGGCCTTCAAAAACGAAGTAGGAGTACTCAGGTGAGTGTACCCGGACAGGAAGGATCTGAGTGTGTCCCATCTTTAACTGGATCCTTGAATGTGGCCTGCATCACGGGATCGCTGAGAGTAAATAGGTGAAAATGCCGTGTTCTTTGTGTGTGTTTGGTTGCGGGAGGCGGAAGGCCCCACACCTGGCTGTGCTCGGGGACTGCTGTTAGGGCGTTGCTCAGGGTCGCTCCAGGCATATTTGGAGAACCGTGTGACCCTGGCATTGAACCTACGGCTCCTGCAGAGGATTCACAGCAGCCCTCTGCTCTGGCTTTTCCTGGCTGCAGAAATGGGCGGTCCCAATCCTGGGATCATGCTTATGCTTCTGGAAATGATCATCTCAAAATTCTAATTTATTAGAAGCATGTTTAGAAATGGTACCAAGCCCTGAAATGTGAAGAACATCAACAAACAGAAATCTGTTCTGGCAGGGACGAACCCTGTGGGGAGAGGCCCTGGAGTCGCAGCTCGGGCAGTTCGACCGGACAGATACTTGGTCCACCGAGGCTGCTGTATTCATTAGTAACAGCCTCTCTTGCTGTTGATATGGGTGCTTTTTTTTGTTTTTGTGGTTCCTTGGGGTCATTGAGCCACATCTCCCAGCCTGAACTGCCTCTCTTTTATTCCAGAGCAGAGTAGGAAAACCAGTTACAGAAGTTACAGGAAATGATTTGGTCTCAACCCCAGGAAAACGTTCTGTTACTAAAACCACTGAAGGAAAAAGAATAGGGGGATAGGCCGCTGTCAGATGAATTTGCCTTAATTGAAGGTGTTTAAGCCTCAAGTTGTTTAAGCCTGCCAGCTAATTTTTTTTTAAATAAAGATATTTCTGAAGTGTGAACCACGTAGGATGTTAGAGCAGACATTTCCTAAAATCTTTTCAAATTCATCCTTCTTCCATTTTTAAAAATGCCTACTTCTGACAACATCTTCCTGATAAGTAGACTGCCGCAACCATTTCATTTTGTTTGGTTTTTAAGCTTTGCTGGAGTTTGTCTACGTTTCTCGTCATGTTTCTTTTTCCAGGAAAACTCGCCATGTGAATATCCTCCTCTTCATGGGCTACTCCACCAAGCCGCAGCTGGCCATCGTCACCCAGTGGTGCGAGGGCTCCAGCTTGTACCACCACCTCCACATCATTGAGACCAAATTTGAGATGATCAAGCTCATAGATATCGCCAGGCAGACCGCACAAGGCATGGAGTAAGTTTCCTTCTGTTCCATTCCTGGGGATTGCTTGTGAAGATCGCTAAGTGTTGCCAAGATTTGAGCCTATTTTCTTTTCAGCTGCCTTTTTAAATTAAATCACTAACAATATATGGGCACGTTTAACTCACGGTTAGTGGGTATGATAATAAAAAATACATAAAGCAGTCTCTCTTTAGTATCAAGTTTTTGATGACTGAATATGTAACTGCAGATTATGTTTGCCATGCAGTGACAGTACGTAGCAGCAATGGTTGGGGGGGAGGGCTCAAAAATAGAATCACAAAAGTCATTAACAACTATTCAGTATATAAAACAATTGTTTATTCCCTTCTTACACTGTTCTAACTGCTCAGTTTTGTATTGCAAAATGATCAGTTAATAAAGCTAAAATAAAAATCTGCATTCTGATCCTTTTTGAGGATTTCACGTTGTGTTGTTTATAATCACTGAATTTTGCTGTATAATTGGAAAGATGAAACATGACTTTAGGGGCTGAGCTCAGCCATAGAGCTTCTGCCTTGAACGCGTGAGGCCCTGGGTTCGATATCCCTGGCACCACAATAAAAGCAGAAACAAACAAAAGGTTAGTTTATGAAATCATTGTCGACCAAAATAGGAAACTGACTTTGAAGGATAAATTATGTGTGCATGCAAGTCTTAAATGTAAAGAGGTAAATCAGTTGTTTGGGTGCCACACTTAGCATTGCTCAGTGACTTCTCCCAGCTCTGTGCTCAGAGATTGCTCCTGGTGGTGCCCGAGGAACTGGGAAATGCCAGGGATCAAGGGCTTCATCTGTGCTCTCATTCTGTTGCATTATCTATGTCTGGCCCTAGACAATAAATTCGAATACATTTCAGAGCACTTAGGGCTGGAGAAATGGTACAGCAGGTAAAGTGCTTGCCTTACATGTTATTCACCCCAGTTTGATCCCTGGCACCCCATTTGGTCACCCAGCATCACCAGGCGTGATCCCTGAGTGCAGAGCCAGGAAGAAGCCTGGAGCATAGATGGGTGTGGCCTAAAAACAAAACAAATTTCAAAAGCACTTAGATGAGGGCTCTAAGAGATGACCCACGAGGTAACCCAGTTCAGTTCCCCGTACTCCGTGGTCCCCTAGCTCCGCCAGGTGTGCCCTGCAGGTACCCACATGTGGCCTGGCTCGAGCAACATGACATCCTTGATCCCCCACTCTGAGTGGGCTGACCGAGAATCGCCTGGGGAGGCCCTCCAAAAAATATGAAGATTTTTTTATTTTAAAAAATGGGGAAACACTTAGATGGGGCCAGAGAGAGAGTATAGCAGGTAAGGCTCTGGTCTCACATGCAACCTACCCGGGTTCGATCCCCAGCATTCAATTCCCCCAAGGCCACCAGGATTGATTCCTGATTGCAGAGTTAGGAGTCACCCATGAGCACCACTGGGTGTGACCCAAAAACACGCAAAAAAATAAAATCAGGGAAAAAATGCATGTCTTGGGGCTGGGCGGGTACTGGGGGCCAAACTCAGGACCTTCCACCTACACGTTGGCATTGAATTAAAGCCACAGACTGACTATGCAGACTATGGAGCTTTTTATTTCGTTTGACACCATCATTTACAATGCTGTTAATGACCAGGGTTTCGTGCTTCCTCTCAGCATTCCAGCAGCACATCCGTCAGCATTCCCTTCCCTCCAGCACTGTCCCCACGTCCAGCCCTCCGTAGTTCTCACTCGGACATTCTGTGATGTGCAGATTGTTCCCATACACATCTTTAGTCATCATTGTTTCATGAAGCAGATCTGTTTTCATTTTCACTGATACAGAAACTGCGGCTCTTAATGACTTCTCCGCATCACTGTGTAGTCAGTGGCAGCAGGACCGGGGTTGTGGCTCACTGGAAGAGCACTTACCTTGCCGGGTGAGGCCTTGGGTTCAGTCTCTGGCCACACACACACAGCAGAAGAGGTGTTTCATTCACCTTCTCTCTTCCTAAGATATTCTTTTATTTCTACTCATCTGTGCCTTCATGATCTTTTATTCTACTTTCGGTTTGGGCTACTCCTGACTGCCCAGGGACCCTCCTGGTGGTGCCCAGAGGACCATATTTGTGGCAGGCCGGGGATCAAACCTGAGTCAGCCACTTGCAAAGCCAGCAGCTTCCTAGACACTATCCACAGGGTGAGATTTCAGTCATCTGTTTTGCATATAATGTACCCAAACTATTATCACCTCAGCACATCATTTGTCTGCACTGCTGGGGATCAAATCCAGGGCCTCGGAACATTTGAGGCCTGTGTTGTACCCACTGAGCCCCAAGCCACTGTTCTAAGATTAGAATAAAAGGTAGCTACGTGCTAACGCCTAGACTCTGGCTCATGATCACATTGCAAATAGCTGTAGAATGAAGACTCAGAGCCAGAATGATGTCTCCCACTGACCTCCCTAAGATAGGGGCCAGAGAGAGTGGGCAGGGGGTCAGCTGCTTGCCTTCCACGTGGCCAACCTGGATTTGATCCCCAACATGACATATGTTTCCCTGAGCACTGCCAGGCACGATCCCTGAGCGCAGAAACAGAAAGTAATCCCTGAGCACCACTGGATGTGGCGCCTCAAAACGAAAGCAAACAAAAACATAACAAACCAGCTCATAGAATGCCTGGCACAGTGTGTTGCTACCTTGCTCTCTAACATTCCTACTTACCCACTTAGAGCAATTTCAAAAAATCAAAGACAGCCTTTTACACAAATTAGACTAAATCTGTTTAAATCCGAAAGCTCTTATGTTAGAATCCTATGAAGGGAGAAAACCTCTTATAGGTTAAGACTAACAGAATAGCACGCTTGAGAAACAGCTTTCCTAGAGTGATAGCACAGCGGGTGGGGCGTTTGCCTTGCACGCTGCCGACCCGGGTTCGATTCCCAGCATCCCATATGGTCCCCTGAGCACCACCAGGGGTAATTCCTGAGTTCAGAGCCAGGAGTAACCCCTGTGCATCGCCAGGTGTGACCCAAAAAGCCAAAAAAAAAAAAAAGAAACAGCTTTCCCTCAGCTCTCATCCAGTCTCTGCGTTACTTCAGTGGCCAAGCACGTTCCCGCCTTGGGGCTTCTGTCCCTGTTACTTTCTGTTTGGAACACTCACGCCACAAATACTGATAGAGCTTCTCCCCTATGTCTCTCTATCAGAGGTCCCCTTTCAAAATGGGTCTTCTCAGGCTCGAGAGAGAGTTTAGTGGGTAGGGCACCTGGGTTTCATGCTGCTGACTGCAGTTTGATCCCAGGTACCACGTTTGGTCCCCCATGCACCACCAGGAATGATCCATGAGTGCAGAGCGAGGAGTAAGCCCTAAGAACAGCTAAGTGTGGTCCAAAGCCAAATAAGCCTTCTCTTGATCATCTTGTCTGATTTATTCGTCCCTGACTACCTTGTCACTCTTTATACCTTGGTCCTTATTTAGTCATCTAATGCCCAGTTCCATGTGACAGTTGTTTCTTGTCTGCCACTCAACTAGAATACAGGAGGGTATATGAGAACGGGATTTTTTATTATTTCCTCATTGTTTTGTCCCTATTTATTAGGGCCTGGCCTATGCTGAGTATGTGGTATAAACCAGTTAAATAAAAATAAATGAATAAGAATGGCTCCGAACAGCAGATTCTCGATAGGTTTTTTTTTTTTCTTCCAGAAAAGAGAGAGGCCAAATCAAATGAGAAATATTAAAGGTAAAAGAGACAAGCAGGGGCTGGAGGGATAGCACAGCGGGTAGGGCGTTTGCCTTGCACACGGCTGACCCGGATTCGATTCCCAGCATCCCATATGGTCCCCCGAGCACTACCAGGAGGAAGTCCTGAGTGCAGAGCCAGGAGGAACCCCTGTGCCAGGTGTGACCTAAAAAGCAAAAAGAGAGAGAGAGAGAGAGAGAGAGAGAGACAAGCAATTAAAGAATAGCAAATGGGAATGGGCTTTAGCTCTAAGCAAAGGCAGCACAGTATTAAGAAACAGTGGTAGAAAGCCAGGCTGTAGCTCAGTGTTAGAGCACTTACCTTGCCTGTGGGAGGCGTGGGGTTCCATCCCTGACACCTCAGAAAGAGGGAAAAAAAAAAAAAAAACTAAAGACTTACCAGGAGCAGAATAAGAGGATGTTGATTCATTTTATGAAGTGCTGGGTTTGCAGTCATCCTTAAGGTAAAAAATTCAGTAATAAGGCAAGTTGTATTACTGGGCCTTTCAAATGTGTCACTTTCATAGGATTCCAGAGTAGTAGCAAATGATGAAAAGGAAACAGTTTTCATACATTACTTTGTTGGTTTTTAGTGGAAGATCATTTCTGCTTCCTGAGTTATCCTGGAGAGCAGAGCTATTTAGTGGTAGATAATTATGAACTCGCTCAAAGAGCCAAGGTTTAGCAGGACATTGGTCTTGCGTGTGGCCAACCCGCGTTTGATCTCCAGCACTACATATGTTCCCCCGAGTTCACCAGCAGTGATCCCTGCGCACAGAACCAGGAGTAAGTCCCGAGCACTGCCAGTGTGGCTCCAGAACAACAAAAAGTTGATCTAAAACTATGTCAGATGAAAAAAAGCAAGCTGACACCATGAGGCCTGTTAAAATTTTAGAAATAGTTTTCTAAAATTTTTATTTGATTTGTGCAGCCTGTGAAGAGTTTTTTCCAAATTCTTTATCATGTAGTATCAAATAAAATAGCCCTTCTTAAAAAATTATATATGTATATTAGAAACAAGCATTTAAAGTTGTGCACATATTATATAAAAGTAGCTAGCACTGTCCTCCCATTGTTCATCGATTTACTCGAACAGGCACCAGTAACGTCTCCATCGTGAGACTTGTTATTACTATTTTTGGCATATCAAATACACCACGGGGAGCTTGCCAGGAAATTAGAAAATTGAATTCTGGATGTCTCAAGATCCGGCCAAAGGTATCAGAATGGGACAGTAATGAAGAATTGTTTTTCCTAGCCCAGGCTAACATTCTAATTGTATCTGCCTTTTA